TGAGAAAGTGTAGATGTTCAAGATCAAGTACATGACCATCTAAGCTGATTAGGCACTACAAGCATTTGGGCATAACTACATAGTTTAGTTTTCTAAGATTCCCTAACAAGCATAAATTGGCACAACAGTAACATATATACAGGAAAGCTTAGAAGACTTCATAACTTGGTTTTGCATACCTAGTTAAAAGTAGTAACAACTATTTGGAGGCAATACCTCTGAGTCCAATTTTGTATTTTTCATTTGCCCAAACCAATCATGTTTAGAAGATTCCTAATGCTTATAGCCCTTGGAAGATGACGATGTTCTACAAAAATGAAAGGAAAAGTTGAGTTCCTGTTAATGACAACGATACCTTGTTGCGTTGAATCACAAATAATTTATGAAACTTTATGAAACCTCATAATCACATAGGTGACTCCGAACAGTAGCATAGCCATGACCATTGACCATATTAAAACACTGTTGAAGTGTGTAGCAACAGGAAGAGCAATTGACAAAGCCTGAAAACATTAATATGCTGAAGTATTATGCTCCTTATGGAAGCACCTCTGCAAGTGAGCATGATACACACTATAGAGATAAGCGGTTAAGATGAACTTACCGCCTTTGTAGTCCACGCAAATTTTAATCCTGTAGGTCAACAATATACACGCATCAGGTAATAATAATTAATACATACACCCAGCACCAGCAGACCATTAAAACAAATATGTGCCTGAAGTAATTATAAATCTGCACAACTGTTCTTCCATGTTGTTTCCAATAAAAAGTATTTAGGTTGCACTCAACATATATTGAACTACAAAGGGGAAAATTTTCTAACCCAGATCATGTAAAAATATGAGTGGCACCATGTTCTAGCAGATTGGAATATAAACCATCGTGATTCGTGAAAGGTCACAAATTACCAATTGGAAAGACTCATTCTTACCCCCACAACGAATTTATCACATGACATTACTACTGCATATTCATGGTTTCTAACTGGCTTATATTAGATTACTTAAACCCCATGGGATCTTTGGAAGGTTAGGGGCGCCACGTCATCAGTTTGGTTCGGATAATTAACGCGCATATGCATTTAGCAATTAGCAGCGATAGTGCGCAGCGATATATTAGATTATGTTTTAATTGGTTTTAGTAGCACAGGATTAGATGCGTTTCTATTGGGCCATTTTCCTGTGCCGGCCCTTCCTTGCACATGGGCTTTTCCCTTTCTCATTGCTCAGCCCACGTTCTGTTTCCGTGTTTCCGTGCTTCTGTTCCACACGGAGCGGCGCTAGAAACACCGCTTGCCGTGTACAGCGCACGCCGGATTGGCCACCGTCTCCTGCCGCCGTACGTGGTAGTGGAGGATGCTTGGTGAAGTCTCTTCTCGGCTGCTGCGCACATCCCTCCTCTCCCCATTCTCTCCTCTTCGGTTTTCTTGGTGAGGTCGCCGGCGATTTCTCCTCCTTTCTTTTTCCTCTTTCTTCCTGCTGAGTAGCAGTCTAATCCAGTGATTTCTCCCTTTTTTTTCTTCTTCCCCAGGGTTTCCTTCACCGTTCGGCTGCGCATTGCCTTCCCATCGGAGCTACTTGCCTCAACAGTTTGGTCGGCCGCATGTGCTCGGTCGGGAGGCCCTAGGGCCTCCACTTTATCTGCGAAGGTGATCCAATGAAAGCCTTCTAGATTACCTCCGATCCCATCGCTCCAATCCCTATTTCCATCCGACCTCTCTCATCTAGCCTTCGCCTCCTCCAAAATCCACAATATGGTGTGCCGCTGATATGATTTTCCCCTCCCTCCTCACTAGAAATCCTTTCTTCCATTGGTGACCATGGTAATCCTCACCTCCTCCACCCTTAGGTACCTTCCTGGACGCTATCCTCGCATCTTTGACCAATAGCCACGACCAGGGTCTGCATCACGGCACGGGGACCTAGCCTCACAATCTGAGGTGAAGCAACAGCCATGGCTGCTATTATGCGAGAGGACCATAGGTCAGTACGAGTGGGGCTTCTCTCCCTTCTGCTTGTGCCATGCTGATTAGGTCTTTGTTCTGTTTTGGTCGTATGCTACCCTCACCCATCCTACTTTTGTTGGCATCCTATTCTATCTCTTTGTTAGTTATCTTTAATGTTCTATGTTTACTATGCTAATTTGTGTGTGCATGATTTTATTCTTAATTGCAGTTGTAACTGCTGAATACATCACTGCCTTGCCTTTTCTGGTATGGTAACTGCTCTGGTAATCAGGTATAATATTCAAATCAATGATTCTATAGTGTGTTCGCGTTTCCTGCTTTTTTCTGTCTCAATTAGCCATATCTTTTAGTGAGATCTGCTTCCCCCTCCATTGTTTAGTTTGGCATGGAATACATTTGGTTCTAGCTTCTCATACACTATTTCCTTTTGTTAGAGAAAATAGGATGCAGACAGACTCAGATCGCCATCTTCTCGAGCACATGATCTACACAAGTAGCCAATTCTGCACAAAGTTAAGTAAACTCTAAACTATATACATTGAATTTTGCTTCCCAATAGCAGTGTAGAAGATAATAGATTTTCTAATTGCTTTTCTTTGTATATGCTCATTACTGTCCTTGGTTTGTGCTTATTCATAACAAGATTGTTTGCCTATCCTTTTTCTCTACAAGATGGGCACATTTAAATGAACTATTTATCATTAATCCATGATGGAGATAATGCGTTGAAAGCTCAGTTAGTCCGTTGCTTATTAATTTAAGTTAACCATTTTTCTTAGGTCAATTATTATCTTACATTAACATAATAGAGAAAAATTTTCACTTTTGAGAGGATTCAACACAATGTTTCATTCAAACAAGCGCCTTCAGCAACTGTTCATAGAAGTGCATTCTTCTTCTAGAGCAATGTACAATGATTTAGGATTTGACAAAGTAATTTTCAATTTATCAGAACTGATTTCTCATAATTACATCTTCATTTCATATTGGCCAGAGCATTGCCAGTGAGCGCGCTATAACTGTGGTATCCCAATCAGTGGCACTAAGTTTTAGGTTGACTGCAATGCTTTTTCTCTGCAGTTGCTCCTAACTGCAATTTCTTTTTGTCAAACCTCATTGATGTATTCAACAAGTATCAGTCGCTGAAGCAAGTTCTGCTGCAGCACAAATCTAACAGTGTTAGGTTCTCATGTTCTTCTGGTTATACTTAGCATTCTTTAATGTCAATTTATCACATTTCTGGTTATAGTTTCTTACTCTTTTTTTACAGCATCTGTATGAAACAACAACAGTCATTTCAGCATTCTTTCCTGCTGGTAGGAAAAATGTGGACTCATAACAAATGTCCAAAATTGGCGTGTTTCATTTGACCTAAATAGTAAAAAGATAGGCATTAGTACAGTTAGACATGGCTTGTGGGTAATTAGGCTTACCTACATGGTCATTAACTTAGCTATAAAGTTGTTGTTACTTGACAAGATCAGTTAACAGTTAATTGCCAGAACTAAGGCTTACAACTAGTACATCACTTCAGAGAACATACTTACTTAAACCCGCAATTTGCATGTACCGTATTCTTCAGATACGTTGGTTGCCCATATAAAATGGGGTCTTAATTCCTTTACATGCAATAATTCATAAAGTCTGAATTCATCTTCAACAGTGCTTTGGTCACAACCAATTGAAGCAGTAGTTGTAGATATTTCTTACCACACACATTTTTTATTGTAGTGTTCAAATAAAATAAATTCACTCTAAATATTTGCTTGACTAAAACTCAGTTACCTTTATTGCATTTCAGGATTCTGTTATAACCTGAAACATATTTATTCAACCCTTTATAAAGTTACATGTCCATATTATATATTCATATTAATATTAGTTTATTCCAAACTGCACTACAAATAAAGAATTTAACCATTTGGTAGTAATCAGTTGTTGAGCAAAGCTCCCAAATAGCATGTGTAATCAAGTTCTATTGTGTTGTATTCATGCTCTCAAATGGTGGTTACATCTTTATGCCACATTAACTTAGCTAAGCATTGACATTTGACAAGTGAAGTCCTTACATGATTACATATGATTTAATCTTTGTATAGATAAGTTATATAGCATATCCATAGGTTTTAGTTTTGACTTACACAAAGAAACTGCTATATTTAGTCACTGATTAATTCATTTATTTGTTGAGTTATTTCTCTCCTGTTGACTGCACTAATAATTGGTGCTTTATTCACTAGGTCAACATCTTCTCTGTTTATATGTACCTTACCTTACCCATCTTTACGGAATCAGTCACTGCATTGCATCTTTCCCTTTTCTCCATTGATACTATCCTCAATCTATTAGTGTGGTAACACCGGTATATGTTCTATCGAATTGTATGATAGGTGATGCCTTGCTGAATGATATTGGCACGATTGGAAGGATAATAGAGCAAATATTTACCTTTTGTTTTTATGGTGTCCTGGCCATGGCCAAACATGGGAGCTCTCCATACATTAGTTAATTCTGCCTAATTCTAATACCAACGTAATTGCAAGTTGACATTGATTTCAGACACCACTTTGTGTAAAGATATTTCGTAGAAGTTCTTCTATCCTACTTCAACCATTACATGCCGAAGCAAACATGTTTATGTTCTTGTGCGATCGATGTGATTCGGGTGAATGACATTCAGACATTTGTCGGACCCATTACTTATAATGGGTATTCCTTCAAAGTCAATGGGAACGTCAACCGGGCGCAGCGTAGCGCGCCAATATTTCTAGTTGTATTTAAATATATAGGAGAATATGGGTATTTTGGCCTGTAATTTTGCATGTGCATGATTTCTTACTGGGTTCTCTGTTTAAATCAAAGAAAATAAGCTTTTCTGTTTAAATCAGAAAATACGGTTGTTTTGGCCTAAATCAGAAAATACGGTTGTTGCTGCAAACGTTAATAGGTACATGAAGTCTTGAACAAAAAATAGTCTCCAAACCTAAACCATCCTACCATGTTCATTTCGGAGTTAATAGGTACAGACATCTGAACAAATAGAAAATTTGATTAGATAGGGTATTCAATTGAACCTGGCTTTCTAGCAGCAAAATGAAAAGAAAATGACATTTAATTGAATATGTACTTGCAGCTCTAGAATGAAAATATATTCAATTGAACATGTCTTTTAGCAGCAAAATCGAATCGTTGCATCAAGTGCAAGTTGGGTGAGCTGTTCAAAAGCAAAATGGAACAGCTGGCCTCCTTGATTTTACATCCTTACTTTCCTGAAGAAAAAAAATGATCCTTTTATTTTACTATATATTCATAGATCAAGCCAAAATTTGGTTAAATCAAAATCTACCTTTTTAGCACACAGAATTAGACCTGCAGTTGTACTCTCTCCAACAGAATTGTACAGAAATACTCGGTGAAAAGTGGGATGTCCAGGCTTTTACAGCAATTGTAGAGTAAAAAGATCACCAGGATAGTGAAATTTTATACTTCACTATATATTCAGATAAAAAGCTATATTTACAGCAATTGTATGTATGTATGTACGTATGTATCAACCCAAGTACTGACTCATGGGCATCCAGTTCATGAATAGAAAAGATTAATGTTCCAGTTAAAGGATTGGAAGAAATTATGCTAGTTACCTTTGGAAGAAATTATGCTAGTTACCTTTCGAAGCAAAAGGACCAACTTTGGGATTGAATCTGATGCCTTTACTTATAGGCATTCCTCCTTTTAAAATTGAAGGTAACAAAATGAATCATTGAAGCATCAAAAGAACCACTTACTCCATGTACAGACAAAATAGAGAGCATTTGATATTTATTTGATGTATTCTTCCATAGCTGGCCAAAACATGTCCAGCTGGATACTATATTACAAAGCAAAATAACAACGTGGAATATCACCAACATGATTTGAACCCCAAGGAGTTCGAAACCAATACCAATCTGTCCTTGGGAATGCTCCCAATCATCACGATGTGGTCGATCCACATTCCAGCCTGCAACTGCACCAAAACACATAAACACAAGAATGAGAGCAGAAACATACATCTTGAATCATGCCGGACCAAACCAAAACCAAAAGTAAAGATTTCCAATAGTTGTACAAAATCAGTCGCACGGTGCAAAGATACCGGCCGCAGGTTGCTGGCTGCTGGGTACCTGGCATCGGGCACTGGACAGAGGCCGCAGCAAGAGGTCGAGCCATCTACACTAGATGTCTTCTCCCAGAGTCAGCACCACGCCAGGCTCGGCTACAGAGGCAGAAGTGCACGCTGACCTCAGGTCGTGTATCCCGGGCTTCGGGCTCAGGCGGAGAGGGTATGGACAACAGCGCCGAGGTGGCGTGGCCACAATTCCATGGCAGGGAGTCACACAATGACGGCGGCGGCATGAGCGTAGATCTGAGGCTTCGGGCTCGGGCAGAGAGGATGTTGACGACGGCGACAAAAGTGGCAGGGGTGTGGGGATTGCCGGCTTGCCGCGGAGGATCCGAGGAGGCGCGGATCGAGGACTTGCTATAGAGGATTGAGGAGCACGGGGTATAGGGAGAAGGCGGCGGTGGAGGCATCCGACGGCGATCTGCCTCTCACACCCGCGGCGCGAGTACGCGAGGAGGCGAGGTAGGGCGAGCGGTAGAGAGGGAGAAGGCGGCGACAGCGGTAGAGGTGGCCGACGGCGACCTCGTCTCTCCGGCCTCTCACGCCCGCGGTGCGAGTACAGGGGAGGCGAGCGCGTGAGGAGGCGGCAGCGGCGGGGTAGGGCAAGCGGTGGAGAAGAGGGAGAAGGCGGCGGCGGATTACGGCTCGTCGCACATGAGGGATGGGGCCGGCCGCGACGGATGGTAGGATCCAACGGCGGCGGAATGGGACCTGCTCCGGCGGCGGACGGAGAAGAAGCGGCTCCGGCGAGGATGCGGCGGCAGTAATCCGGAGAGAGGAGGATGCGTGGCGGCAGTAATCCGGAGTGAGGAGGAGGAGCGCCGGCCGCAGCGTATGGAGCTGGCCACGGCGGATGGTAGGATCCGGCGGCGGCGGAAGGGGACCTCGGATACAGTACAGAGGAGCGAGGAGTGAGCGAGAGAGGAGGAGCGATGTCTTCGCGCAATCGCGCGTGGATGGAGAGTAGTCTTCGCGACAGTAAATCGGGCGGTAGTGAAATCGTGTGTGCGGATGGACGGTAGGATTGATCCGGATGATTTCACACGTAGGATTGGAGACGTAGGATTGGAGGGTGCAACTCCTCCTTTTTATATTAGTATAGATGATTCCTTATGCGTGTCCTTCGATTTCGAAATTTTCACCAGCCATAAGCTGTAAGGCATTTACATTTAATTTAATTAAACAGCTAATTACTTGGTTTTTATATATACCTAATAAAAAAATACGCAAAGCTTTATGTTTATTTTTGTCTGTTCGGTTTTTTTATGGCGCCGGTATTTTTTCCTATCATTTTTTTACACGCGAAAGAGTTTCTTTTGTGCGCACGCTCTAAAGCTTTTTATTGGAATTTAATTTTATTTTAATGATAATTTTTAGTAATTATGTGTGGTTTTTGGGTGTTTTCTGTTTTTAGATCCGATCCGATTTGTTGAACCCCGCGCCTTCCACGGGCCGAACCCTAGTGCCGCACCGCCGTCATGTCAATCGTGCATTTCCTCCTCCAATTGATTATAAAAATCGATTCCCCATTCGTCCCTCATCATTTTCTAAATGATTTCCCCTTTCGATTCAGTTTTAATTCACTGGATTTAATCTTCATTTTAACAGTCGCGATGATGATCGATGGGCGATCTTCCTCGATCGTTTTTATCTCAAGTTTTACACTCTGATTTTGGGAAGAACGGAAAGAGGATATCGAAGGGATCAAAAGCCCTCAACCAATTTTTGGAGATCGAGAAATGTTCGACCGGATTTGATGGGGAAGATCTGCTTTGGCATCATACGGGCATGGGACCATGTTCGAGAGGTTGAAGACGGTTGTCGGCTGTGCAAGTTGGACCTGCAACTCCACTTGTGAGATGGGCGGAAGGGAGGCAGGCCGAGCAAAGGGAGGTAAAGGTTTGGCTTAGGGCTGAAAAGGAAACATTGAATGGGTTTTCGGTCCAAAACCAAGGATGAATTCTTATTAACTTTTTTAATTGTAATGTATAGCAATCCCAGTTTTAGGATTTTTATTAAATGTTTCAATTCTAATGTATATTGATCCCAATATTTCAATTTATTGCTCGGCTTCTAATAGTTGTTGTATCGCTGAAAAAATGACTTTCCCGTTACAACGCATGGGCATTTTTCTAGTTTGAGCCAATCATAACCGTCATTTCTTTCAAATGGACTTGATATTGCCACGTCACTCATCTTCCTCGTATCACTAGTTGACCGCTCGAGCAAGAGCATCCCAATGTCCGATGCAACCTGATACACTTTGTGGTATCATCATTCTCGATCTCATCGTGTAGATCATTGGCAAAGCACATCTCATAGATGCGACACATGGCCATAGCCCCCGTACCAGTGGGTTGGTCTAATGGGCAAGCCCAGCAGCCCAGCCCAACTCTCTCTCTCTCTCTCTATCTCTCTCTCTCTGTCTCGCACCTTCCTTTTTCTCTCGACCGCGAGCGACAACGGCGGCTGCAATGACAACAACCCTCCGGCGAGGTCACTCCACATCCTTCGGCAAGCCCCCTCCTCCGGTGAGCTCCCTCCAATGAAAAAGAAGGCACACAGTGGAGCGGTGCTCCTCTGGTGATGACGATGGCGAAGGCCTCTCTCTACCGAGCTCCCTCTTCCTCCCTCCGGCGAGCTTCCTCTAATGAGATTGTCAAGCAACAAGGTCAGCTCCTTTTCCACCGCCACCCCTGTAACATCCTGAAAATTCAAAGACAATAAAAATCACTAAAATTTTGAACTTTTTAAAACTTTTGCATCATGCTGGTTGTTATGATTGCTATTGCTTGCCAAACCGTAAATGATCACAAAGAAAGTAAAGTAAGGATCTAAAATTTAAGTAATAGATAAATTTACGAGAATATAATATTGTTAACCCTACAAATAATTACGCACAAGAAAACAAAGCCAGACAAATGGAAAGTTAATTACTAATTTAAATTATGGATTAAATACTAAATACGTGAACCATGTGTTGCGTGTCATGACGTCTAAATACACATGAAATGATGACCATTTATAATGGAACTCTATCTATGACATAGTTTCACTAGGAGTAATTAATGGGATATTACTAAACTCTAATGGTCTATATAAAGCTAAACCAATTCACATGAAATAATGGTCGTATAATTAAATTAAGCTTTATAAAATTTTGTGAGGTTTTAATTAAATAATTAGATTAATATTGTGCCGAGTCTCAATTTACTATTTATAGAATAAATAGATTGAACCTATCCGTGTAAAATATATTGCTATACAACTAAACTTAACCAATCTGCTAATGTATTAATCATGACAAGTCGTTATATTAAATTTAATAGTACCCCAAAGTCTTCAAAAATATATAAGTTCACCTTAGGGCCAATAACTCAAATTAATCTAAAAAGAATTCATTTGTGCGATAAATAAATAAATATGGGTAATATTAATCTAGGGTGAATCCATTGGTTAGAATAACACAAATATTGAGTAAACTTCATTTGTGTAAAAATTAGGATTTATAGAATAAAATTTATATAGGAAATAGGCTAAAATAGGGTTAAATAGCCGGCTAGCACTGTTCATTAGCCCCCTAGGTGTTCGATTTAGTTCCTAGCCGTCCTAGCCCTCCTCCTTCTCCTGCCCGATGCCGCTCGTGTCGCCATCGTCGTCGCCCGCGCCGCTGCCGCGCGCCAGCTCGCGCCCCGCGCCGCGCGCCATCGCCGTCGCCGTCGAGCCGTCGCCGTCGCCGCCGCGCCGTCGCCGTCGCCGCCTTGAGCCCCGCGCGCCATCGTCGTCGCCGTCACATCGTCGCCTCCTGCCCCGCGCCCCTGCCCCGCCGCGCGCCCGTCCCATCTTCCCTCCCGCGCGCGCCTCGCGCCTCGAGCCGCCGCGCGCCGTCACGTCGCCGCTGTCGCGCGCGCCACTGCCGCGCCCCCTCGCGCTCGTCGTGCCGCGCGCCGTCGCCGTCTCCGGTCGCATCGCCTCGAACCCCACCCCTCCGCGCGTCACGCCCCATCGCCATCACGTCGCCCATCGCCGCCGTGCCGCCATCACCGCGCGCCAAGCCCCGCGCCGCGCCGCGCCGTCCCATCGCCGCGTCGCCGTCCCGTCGACGCTCCGCCGTCGCTGTCGCGTCGCCCGTCGCCATCACCGCCCGCCGAGCCCCGAGCCGTCTCGAGCCGCGCGCCCGTCGCCGTCACGCCTCGCGCCGCGTGCCCGCCGCCTCGCGCCCCACGCGCCGCGCGCCGTCGCATCGCCATGGAGCCGGCCGCCCCTCCCCCGCGGCCTATAAATCCCCTCCGGTCGCCCTTCCATCCCACATCACCCCCCTCCTTCCCCTCCTTTCTTTCCCCCTTTCTCTCCACCGCGCCGCCGCCTACGTGCCGCCGCGCCGTCGCCTCGAAGCCGCCGCGCCGCGCCGAGTGCCGCGCCGTGCGTC